TTGGTTTGAAAAAAGACCACGAAGGCAGGAATGATAAAAAGTCAAATGCCTCTTTTTCTATCTTTTTCCGGCTCCTCTTCAGGCCCCCGCCCCCCCCCCCCCCTGAGTGGGTGCTGGTTGGCTGGGGTACCTAACCCTAATCCTAACTCTAACCATAACCCTAACTGTAACCCTAAACCTGACCCTGACCCTAAACCTAACCTAACCTAACCGAACCCTAAACCTGACCCTGACCCTGACCCTAACCCTAACTCTAACCCTAAACCTGACCCTGACCCTGACCCTAACCCTAACTCTAACCCTAATAAACCTGACCCTGACCCTAAACCTAACCTAACCTAACCCTAAACCTGACCATGACCCTGACCCTAACCCTAACCCTAACTCTAACCCTAAACCAGACCCTGACCCTAACCCAAACCTAACATTTTTTGCTGACTCCTCCCCCCCCCCCCCGGGTGGGGGCTGGTTGGCTGGGGTATTCCCTTTTTTTGGGAGTTTGGAGAAAAAATGAGCAGAAAAATGAGGATAAACACAGAGGTTTATAACAGAATGGGAGGGTTTATATTTTCTTGGTTGAATTTACTGGAAGCCATTCTGCCTGATATGCCAGACGCCCCGCTGAGTTACAGGAATAATAGAATAAAAGAGGAGTTGTGAATGATTCTATTTTTGTTTGTGGGTCTGTGTGAGACAACAGTCTTCATGGTAGAAACACGACTGACCGGTGGTCTGTGTTGTGTAGGAGTACACTTCTGTCATTATCAGAGTGCGACATTTACAATAAATCTGGCTGAGCAAAAGTGTGTGTGTGTGTGTGTCTGTGTGCATGTGTGTGTCTGCCTGTGTATGCTTGTGCGTGTGGGGGGCGTGTGTCTATTTGTCTATTTGTCTGTTGTCTATGTGTGTGTGTGTCTCTGGGTGTCTTTTGTCTGTGTGTGTGTCTCTGTGTGTGTTTGTGTGTCTGTTGTTTATGTGTGTCTGTTGTCTCTATGTGTGTGTCTGTGTGTGTGTGTGTATGCTTGTGCATGTACATGTGTGTGTGGGGGTGTATGTGTCTATTTGTCTGTTGTCTGTGTGTGTCTCTGTGG